GTCATGCRCAACTTTGATTGATATGCACCTTTTCTGATTCATTCAATTACTGATTTGTCACATTTTCAGTAGTTTTTAAGAAAACCTTTATATRTGGAGTGTGCATTCTTATCGTCCGACATCGCCTATTTTCACACCATCGTAAAGGGACTTAAATCACTTTGTTTTATGTAAATTTGGGTGACATATATATTATATATATATCATTAGTTCGGAAAATATATACATTAAACTTTAACGGCGGGCGAGGCCACGCCCACTTTTTAATAATACCACAGGTTCTTCTCCTTGATATGATTCGTTGTGCCAAATTTGAGTTCTTTATCTCAATTTACGGTTTAAGGCACTTTACACGTTTTCGATTAATGGTGTTTTGTGGGCGTGRCAGTGGTTGGGTTACGCCCATCTACAATACCAAACTTCATATGGTGCCAACGAACGTGTCTACCAGATCTTCAAGATATTTTTATTTGTACTCAAGTTACAGCTTGCACGGGCGGACGGAGTGTCAACCGGATTTCAAATTTTCTCGTCATTCCTGATCAATTTTATATATATATAGAGCTTGTTGATTCACGAATTCCGAGAGAATGTTAATATCGCCTTYGCTAAAGTGCAAGCTTCCCAATCAATGCACTCGAAGCCAACCGACTGGATAAACAAGCAACCAGCAATGAGCTCGTGCTTCTGTGGTCGGTAATATGGAGAAAGTGAATTAGGGAACATCCTGTACACTCTATAGCCTTTGATGTTGTTTCAATTTCATTTGAATCTTTAATGCTTTCTTCTTATAGATTTGAACGAATTGGATAACCGCAAAGCAGACAACACTCAACAAATCAATATTTCATTACGCCGGCACGACAACCGAAATGAACGGACTTGAATTGCACAACATAAAGTAGCAATGTCCTCTGTTCAGTTAGCGGTTATGTAYATGTACTATATATACATATGTATTATATATGTATACCAATAAATATGACTGTTTCTAGCTTGCTGAATGCTGAACACTTGTTGCAGCGGCAGCTCGCTTGGGAAATAAGGTGAATTGCAAATACATCCATGTTACAAGTTATTATAAATTTGTTCATATCAGAGCACACCAATTATCTAGTGTCAGTCCAATGACTGTCAAAAAAGGATTACATAAATTACTTTCATATATATATATATGTACTTAATTTCCTTTCCATAATTTAATCTAACTTGGAATTCTGGCCTAAAAAACTCGTCTCAGAAAGTAAAAATAGACGCAAATGCATGTTCCATGTAGGCCTTATATGTACATATGTATATTTCAATGTTTTGAATTTAACGTTGGTGTAGCATTTTTGTTTTCAATTTATTTATATTCCAATAAATGATTAATTCTGAAAAGCAAAAATTGCATGTAAAAGTTCACCTTACCTTTTTCGCTCAGATCCATGAGAAACTTCCTCATGAACTGTAAGTTTTCATCTAAGACACGGAACGTGTCGAAGCGTAAAATAATCGAATCCATATTGTAATGCTTGAATCAAAATTGGATTGTTCCACTATTTATACAAAAATTATTTCCACTTATATTCAACAAGTGTCTACACTCAATTTTAAATATATATTGAAAGTATTTAACACAAAAAATTGACACTAACACAAAAGGGACACAACGCGACGAACACACGGACCGATCGGAAGCAACTGAGAAATCGTAACTTACTAATTCTAAAAAGAATTTGCATATTTCAAGGTAGCGGAGCATAGTCGATTTACAGTTGTGCAACGAAACCGAAACGAAGTTCAGGACTGGAGATTGGAATCCTAGAATATAGTAGAGCAATTACATATATGTATACACATATATATTGGTATATAAGCATTTATATACATATTTGAAGGTATCCCCTACATACACATATATATGTATATGTTTATTCTTTAATTTATGTCCCATCATTCTTTCTATTTTCAATGTCTTATATCACAGGGTTGCTTTGAGGCTGGTATCCCTTCAAACACTAAATTTACTCTGGGAACAATTTTTATTAATGTTTATTTAATATTGCTTTATGCAGCTTTGTTATCGCCAGTTGAGGAGTTCGTTTGAGTGTTACATTGTTGTTACATTAGTTTGTGTGGTATATATGTATTCTCATATCGATTGTATAATACATATACTTATGTACATACAATATTAATACATAACTTAATTTTAATCCTTTGATTTTTTATTAGAACTTAGATTACATACAATTATGGAGGTCGTGCAAATAGTTATTGTCAAAACTTTATTACTCAATTCTGTTCTAATGATTACATAATTTCTTATATAATAAAAAAATTGTTTTATTGACTGAGTCTCTTTAAAATATTTAAAGTTTTACTGAACATAGCAATTCGCTATCAAGATATTAGCGACCACATATTATTTAATTAAAATTGCTTAAGCTTCAGTTATTACTTACCCGCTTGTGTCCATTGTTCATAATCTGTCTGCCGGAATAATCCAACCCAATCGAACAGAAGTTCCTCGTAAGAAGCCATAATATTAATATTTGCAACATCCGGATACTTCTGCTGATATGCAACATATAGCCTACATATGTATGTACATACGTATTAATGTATATATGCACTATTTTACATTTCTGCATTGAGCACTATAACGATATACGGTAAAAATCAAATCAAACTAGATTTTATTGCGTTCCATATTTAAATTCATAATTCTTGCTATACATATGTACATATGTACCTGTGGGTTCGCCGAATCTATTGAATCTCTTTATTTAACTTTTTAATCGACAGTTTAAAATGTTCCCAGAGTAAATTTGGTTCGTAAATTTCAAATCTTTGTGGTATTCATTTCTAGCCACTTGGAGTTTTTACGTTTCCGAAATATTCAACCATACAATTTCTGAAATCTCTATAAAAAGTTCGGGACAGTTACAGAATCTCTCTTCATTACAAACATCAATACATACAAGCTGTTCAATCCCTCTTCCAACTTCCATGTCAGACATATGCTGATCTTGGACGTCATATATGTATGTAGATAAAAAACGTTTTGTCAAATAATTATTTTATACTATCGAATGCGCCTGTTCGTTTCCTTCTCCAACTTTTCTAGTCCAGTTCAATTGAGTTTTTCCAATCGTAAATCCAATCAATGAAACTTTTTTATACTGATCGCTACCTCATCATGCGCACTCTTCTCAAGTGTACGTCAACCGTTGAAGTACTGACTATTATGTGGTCTGTAGACAAAATTAATAATCAACTTATGTCAAAATCACCACCTCTACTCCACCAACGTGTAATCATTCCATTCCATACCGGGTTCACACTCTTACATGCGATTACGCATACGCTCTCCAACCAACCATAGACATGACGTCTATGTTATACCTGATGGAGCATACTAACGCATAATTGTGTATTCAAATCTATGTATGTATGTATGTATGTATGTAGATACGGGATTTTGCTCACTCACTCTCCGAACACCTGCTTGTTCGCTGCGCCTACGTTCAACTAAGTATTTATCATCGGTTTCATTGATTTAGTGATGGATAAACATATACATACATTCATACATACTACATGCATGCTTATGTAATTTTAAATTATTTTGCACAGAGAAAAATAAATGAGTTTATTTTAGTCGGAAGACGGGGATTACTTTTAACGTGTATATATTGTAATATAAACTATATTTTATAAATGGATTCTCAAAAGCTGTGAGGTCTACATCTTGTCCTAGTTCCAATATAATAAATATAATATAATTCCCCTCCTCTCTAGTATATTTATCAGTGAAAGTGTCAGATTTCTAAATATGTTCATATTAGATTTTAAAATTAAGCTAGAAGTTTTTGCTTAGCATAATATTATTTATAACCCTCAGCGCTAATTATACTTATATCTTTCCATTGACAATTACAAATGATAGATTTCAATACCGCTTCTTTCACAGATGTATAGAAGTAGATTTTTTATTATTATTTATATAATAATTTAATAAAACCATTGGTTAGAAAGTTTATTAGGTTTTGAATAATGTTGAACTATACCGCTATATGAAATTTGGCCAGAATTACTAACCACTTTTTGACATATGTATACACATGCACATACATACATATGTCATATCCAATGTGTTCGAAATCACACATGCGCCAGCATTGTACTCCGTTCAAAGTCTAGAAAATATTTTCAAATTTTGAATTCTTGAAGAAACATATTTAAAAGTAGCCCTGAATGTGTTAATAAACGTACTGAACGGAATCCTAYAATACAATTGAATTTTGGTTGGAACACTGCAAATAATGACATTTATATTTTCAGTAATAATTCTCGGCAGCCAAACCCGACACCTATTGTCTGAATCTCATACAACTTTGTTCGCTTTGCTTGAATATTCATACTTCAACAACAAAGCGAATAATGCGCCAGTGCATGGTTTTGGTGCCACTCATCAATAAAAATTGCGATTGTTACTTAACAAAGCGTAAATACAAAAATATATATATTTCGAGTTTTCTTTGTTTGGAGCAAAGCGAAGCAAATGTTCTATGTGAATCAGCCCTAACATTTTTTCACCCAACTCAAAGCAACTTCATATTTATACATATTTATAATTTATTGTTAAAACTTGGTAGCTCTGGATATAAATGTGTTGCGTCACCTAGCGGTATTAATGTGAAGTTCACTYATTGGCCGTCGTATCACAGAACGTACGTTCTCTGGTCGTAAGTTCTAAACGTCAACATAAATTTTTCAGCAGTGCGCATTATTTTTATTTTTGGGAGAGTGCATTGAAATTTCTATCATTTCCGTTGAACAAATTTTTCACACGACTTTTACGATTTATCCACCGAAAGTGAAACAGCAAAAAATATTTTTCAAACAGTTAAATAAGGTGCATCTAACTACTGGTTCAGCGGTGCAAGGGCTCAAGATCAAAGTTCGAATTAGGCGTAGTGAGAAGTAAAACCTCGCATACAAATTCTTACAAAATGACAGTATCCGCTGGGGCAGCTGACTCGAACAGCAATGTAGCCGGCAACGAATCCTCATCCATTTTGTTGGGCATCGTAGAAGAAATTATCTATAGCCCCTTAAATTTAGCACTTGTGGCAGTCATAGTATTTCTTTTTTACAAAATTGTAAAGGATCGCTATGAAGTACCCAGGGACAGATCCGGTGAAGGTGCTTCCCAAATACCTGAGCTTCCTAAATTGCGACGAGATTTTACCATACAGGAGTTGCGTGCATATGATGGAAATGGACCGGATGGTAGAATACTTATAGCAGTAAATGGAACTGTATATGACGCCACAAAAGCAAAACGTTTTTACGGTCCAGGTAAATATGATATTACATACGTATATAGTATACTTTTATTTATTTATTAATATAAAAACTCATATAGCAGTAATTTTAATATAGTCACAATTTATATGAATGGGTGGAATTTTAGGTACTTTTTATTTAATTGTAATAATATGAAAAAACTGGCGACTGGCCGGTAGCGTAAATGTTATCAGGTGATATACATACGCATTCATATAAACATAGACTAAGTATAAATAGTTGAACGATTTTATAATTTATAAAAAACATATCACGTATATTTTTTTAATTAAAACTATGTTCTATTACAAATAGGATTTATTATGCGCATATATTTGCATTTTAACTTACAAGTTAAAAAAAAACAACAAAAATTGAAAATGGCAACATATTAAATTAAGATTTTGTATAAAGACATACCTCTAATCTTGTGTATGTATTCCTGCGAGTGTAAAAAAATAGCCGAGAATTATCTTATCTTAAAATCTGCCATTCACTCCTAAAATAACAACTCATCGTTCGTACATATGAAGATGACATTTATTTTTTTCAAGGTGTCAGACTTCTTAAACATCAAGAAATTAGCATCGATTTGCATAGATTCTCAGAAAGCAAATTATGCACGTATTATTTGCAATTAATTATTTTTATCATTATCTATAGGCGGGCCATATGCGTCATTTGCTGGCAGGGACGCGTCACGCAATTTGGCAACCTTTAACGTCGAACCCAATAATAAAGAAGAATATGATGATCTAAGTGACTTAAATGCTATGGAAATGGATTCTGTGCGAGAATGGGAGATGCAATTCAAAGGTATCAATTTGATTTGTAAATCAAATGAGTTCGCATTTAAAATATATTTTTTAGAAAAATACGATCTTGTGGGCAAATTACTACGTAAAGGTGAGCAACCTACTAACTATGACGACGAGGAAGAAGACTCCAATGAAATTGTCACAGAAGTCAACGCGACTTCCTCTGCTCCCACCACAAATGCAAGCAACAATGATGACGGTGTTCGGAAGCGTGTGGCTAACTCGACCGATGAGGAAGTTAAATAAATAGTAGTTATCTTTCAAATATTTGTTTTGGGTTCCCAATTGATAGATTTACAAAAATTTTAGTTTACTAAAAGATATTTAATTAAAACTTTAAAAACCCTCTGCTGAACATTTTTACGATGGTTATCAGTAGATAAATGAAAGATAAAAAAATCGCAAATATTTAAGCAATTGCAATTCTCATTTGATTTTATGCACAGCTTAGATGGAATTACGTAAATTGTGTCTTATTTGTGTTATCAAGCATATACATACATACATATATACAAAGCATATGCGGGATTGTGGTTGATTTAGAAATCAGAAAATTACTTGGCTAAATTAAGTATCTTTAAAATAAAAAAAATCTAAAAATTAAGATGTTTAGGGAAGGTATTGGCAAAAATGAAGAAATCCAGCCCGAAATGTCATTTACTTAATTTTACATATAACACAATATATGCGTCTTTAGATGTAAACTTTAATTCCGACGAACTATATACATACATATGTATATGTTATGTGTATTGTTCAAGTAAATACATATATTTATTAAAAAAATTAATAAAATTCTTGTTTTTAACATGATTTTATCTATTATTTTACTAGCTTCTAGATTATTATCCGTTTTCAAGGCAATCAGGTCTATATCCGTCCCGGTGATTGTTCTTGTTGCGGGAACGGACAAATGACCTTTCTTATCATYTGAATCGAAAAGTTTATATAATTCGGGTATGAGCAATCTTACAAAGGGACAATATGGTTAAAGCAATTAGTCGAAGTTATATAGAGAACGTACATTTTTGATTTAGAGAAAAACAAAGTTTTAATCCTTATTTTAGACATTATAAGATTGGAATTGATTACCAAGTTGAAGCAATTTTCTTTTCCCTATAAGACCCCAACAAGTAACTATCAGTTAAATTATACGTTCTCTGACCATAMTATAGAAATGTCAGAAATTTACGGTTTACAACTCTACTCGGTTGAATTGAAATTGAATCAATTGGTGTTGCCAACTTCAAAAATAAAGATGTGACAGATAATTAAACAGCTCAAAGCTTTACACAAAAAATCAAAACAATTTAATTGTTTTAATAGTTATTACTCACAAGAAGGTGAATATGTAATTATTAAAATAAAAATTAGTATTTGATTATATTAAAGTGAAAATGTTGGGACCAAAACTGATGTGTTATGTATACGAAAAAGCCTTCATGATCACTCAAATAAATTCGAATTTCCTAAAAAAAAGGAAAAGGAAACCAAAACTGGTTTTAAATCTTATGGACACCATATAAGTATGTGCGCTGGGGACAAAACACCATTGGCTTAAGAGAAGCAAAACATTTCAAGAATTTAATTTTATGTTGAAAACACTTCCCACGCTCCCTTAATTTTTTTTTAATGTTTCTAAATAGTAGTTTGTTCGTCCACTTCCGGGATTTCAGCTCACCAAATTTTCACCTTAATAGTTTGAAAATATCAATAAAACAGTTCTTTTCATTCATTTTTGATAAATATTTTTCCTAAATAAATTTATTAATATTTACCGTGCGATKCTGTACTGTTATACAGTCTCAAGTCATATGTCGATAACAAATATTAAAGAGACAATTTTTGAGACTTGAGACGATTTCTAATACATTTCATTATGATGTTTTTAAACTTGAATGAAAATAAATATGTCGATAACAAATATTAAATTTTCTATAACATAGTCAAAAAACATAATTATCAATAAAAATAAAAATATATGATGACTTTGTTTCATAATATTTACGAAATTATGTAAAATTGATTTATTTTTAACCTTTTCGCATTTGAGTTGCTTACAAAAAAAAAGGACATCAATCGATAAATATCTATGATGATCTCTATTCAGAATGTTCAAAATGGCGGACAAGAGTTCTTTCTGGTTTCGTAACCTGCTAACTACCAGATCTCAAATTTGAGTCAATATTTTGAGACTAACGCTAGAGACTGATTAGTGAATAGTAACTAGTCACAAATTGAGATTTTACCTCAAAATGTCTCAAATAGAGACGAGAGACTGGTTACAGAATCGCGCTATAAATTTTTCTATAACATAGTCAAAATACATAATTATCAATAAAAATAAAACTATATGTTGACTTTGTTTCATAATATTTACGAAATTTATGTAAAATTTATTTATCCATGTAGGTGTGTAATATTATTATTGTCTTTTCGTATATTACAATAACTCTGTGATTTAAAATTTAAACTAAGCCTCTTACGACAAACGCGCAGAAGACCTTGGTTTCTATTTTGTGGTTTTGGTAAATGTTCAGGAGAGCGGCTTTTCCGAAAATGTCCGGAAATRTCTCAAAATACTCGTTTTTAATTCTACTTTACGAATATATTGAGCGCTCGAAAAAAAAATAACCCTGGTCGGTCCAAAACCCCGGTGTTCATAATTTTCCTGTGTCCAACTTCTTCTTCTTTCTGCAATAATAATGTATTTTAAATTTTCCTATTATATATTTCTCGTTTTTAACAATTCTCTTTCAGACTCGAATATTGAGAATATCGATATTTAAATTTATTTTTATTTTTACAATTATTATTATTTTTTATTATGTATCTCATTTTTATCAATTCTCGTTCAGTTTTGAATATCGAGAGTATCGATATTTCGAAACCGATCACTGCTTGTATCACTAGTGCCCATTGAATTTCGAACTGTGATGCCATTTATAACGTAAATATCGTGCAAAATCGTAATATTTTTTWWTKTTTTTATTGCAAAAAAGCATAAAAATAGATAACGCAACATATATATTCGTAAATTGGAATTAAAAACACGATTTTTAAGACATTTCCAGTGAAAATTGGTGCACGTTTTCGGAAAAGCCGCTCTCCTGAATATTAACCGCGGTTTTTTATTCTTAATAAATGAGGCTCTTGTATATATCGTTGGGGAGCAGCAATATACCATACACTTAAATATATAATTCTTCTTTTGGTTGTCGGTGAATTACAAATTTACTCGCGATATAATTTACAATTTAATGTGAAAAATAGTATTTAATCTAAAGTTTCCATTGAATGCAAACTTGATGTTTTGATATATGTATACATACGTACATACGGAATGTCATTGATCAGTTGTCAACTGTCTTATTGGATACCCTCCGCACATAAAAAAAAAATACATTTGCAGTGCACAATATTTTGCTGTCGCTGAAAACATTTTAAAATTTTGAAGTAAGTATCTATCAAATATATTTCCGTTAACATTACATTAATACCTAAATAATAAAACCATTTTAATAGTATTTAAAATTATTATTACRTCTTTTCCAATTAGTTCTTTATACACGCATTGACTTATGTAATTAAGAGATACTATACGTTTTGAGCTTAATTTTTTTATAAAATATTTCTAAAAATTGATTGTATTGATTTTTAGAAAGAAAATGTTTCGTGCACCGCTTACAAAGGTTATCCAAGGAAGATTCGGTTCACCAACACATGGGATTACCAAAGCCATTCGTTCTAGCGCTGCGTTATCGCAGACACCAGCTAAGGCACCAGAAAAAATAGAGGTTTTTGTTGACGATGTTCCCGTTAAAGTTTTGCCTGGAACTACTGTTTTACAGGTAATATAATAAAATCCGAATTTTTGCAAATATTACTATACAATATAATAATATTTTGGTTTTAACAGGCATGCGCTGTGGCTGGGGTAGAAATACCCCGATTTTGTTATCACGAACGTTTGTCAGTTGCAGGCAATTGCCGTATGTGCCTTGTTGAAGTAGAAAAAAGTCCAAAACCGGTAGCAGCATGTGCAATGCCTGTAATGAAAGGGTGGCGTATAAAGACTAACTCCGAAATGACCAGAAAAGCACGTGAAGGCGTAATGGAATTCTTGTTGATGAATCATCCATTGGATTGTCCTATTTGTGATCAGGGCGGTGAATGTGATCTACAAGATCAGGCTATGGCGTTTGGTTCAGATCGATCCAGATTTACTGATATAAATCATACTGGAAAGAGGTACGTTTTATTTTTTATGTTTTTAGTTATAAATTAATTCAATTGTAATATTTTATTTTAGAGCCGTTGAGGACAAAAATTTTGGACCATTAGTCAAGGGAATAATGACTCGTTGCATTCACTGTACTCGTTGTGTTCGATTTGCCTGTGAAGTGGCCGGTGTGGAAGATCTTGGCACCACGGGCCGTGGTAACGACATGCAAATCGGTACTTACGTTGAAAAACTGTTCCTGTCTGAACTTTCCGGAAATGTTATAGATTTGTGTCCCGTTGGTGCATTAACTAGCAAACCCTACAGGTACATTTTTTAGTTTCCAATTTTTCGTATTGTTCAGAAAAAGCAGAAAAAAATGATCTAATAGTTTCGTAGCACGACCATGGGAAATTCGAAAAGTTATTAGTATTGATGTTTTGGACGCCGTTGGTAGCAATATTGTCGTAAGTACTCGAACAAACGAAGTTCTACGTATTGTACCCCGAGAAAATGAGGATATTAATGAAGAATGGCTTGCTGACAAATCCCGTTTTGCATGCGATGGTTTAAAACGTCAACGTTTGGTTGCACCCATGGTTCGCATGCCGAATGGTGAATTACATGCAGTGGAATGGGAAGGAGCATTAATATCGGTTGCTAAAGCTATAAAAGAAGCAAAAGGTGCCGTTGCTGCTATAGCTGGCCAACTAGTAGACGTAGAATCGCTTGTGGCTCTTAAAGATTTACTAAATCGTAATGGGGGAGAAACTCTTTGTACCGAGCAAAACTTTAATATTAAGGGTTCTGGATCTGATTTGCGATCTAACTATGTTTGCAATACCACTATAGCAGGTGAGAAATTTTTTTATTTCTATAAATATAATTAATTCAAAAATCGTTTGATATTCCTTATAGATCTGGAGCAAGCAGATGCTGTTTTACTTATCGGTACCAATCCACGTTATGAAGCACCCTTAATCAACACACGTTTACGTAAATCATATATCAATAATGAAATGGATATTGCTTCCATTGGACCCAAAATAGATCTCTCATACAATCATCAAAATTTGGGAGAAGATGCTGGTTTAATTAGTCAAGTTTGTAATGGTGGACATCCATTTTCAAAAGTACTTGAAAATGCTAAGAAACCCGCAATTGTGTTGGGAGCAGATGTATTGGAAAGACCTGATGCAGCCGGAATACATACAACAGTAGCTTCGTATTGTAAGAAACTTAACAAACAGGTGGGTACCTTGAATAGCATTAGCAGTCAATGCTCGTTTTGTTAAACTTACGGCATTATAAGTCACAACAAAATGTCAAGTCACTAGCGGACAGGACCTAGGGAAAATACAAAGAAACGTTGTTGACAACTTATAAGGCAATAGGCCGGTTGGTCATAAATTACACAGCATGGTTTTGTCGCCTAGATATAGCTTCAGATTAGCCAGTACACTTTCCTATGGTTCAACTCCATCTAAACTACACGTTTTCTGAAATTCCAGTTA